TATTTCATCTCAGGTATCCTCAGCACAAAAAGAAACCATTTTTATTTGAACATTCACCAAAAAGTCGACTTAATTAGGCTAAGTCGACTCGCACCTGGGCAACTCGAAAGTTGCCCACTTCGGCTGAACCTAAGGACTGATCTCCTCCATGCCACCCAGCAATGATGTACTAATTCATTGACAAAGGAACCCTGATAAAGTATAGAGCACAGATACTGTATATTGCATAGAATTACTGGCAGTAGGCCCACATTTCTGTATTAAAATCCTTTTTTTGGTGTTGTTTCATATTGTAATTTTCTTAACTATAGAATTTGGGTTTTTAATTAGCTGTAAACCCAAATAATCAAAACAAAAAATTTGGTTTCTGTGGAATAAAGGAGACTCCTTGAATTAATCTTTTCAATGACTTTCTGAGGTCTTGATCTGTTTCCACATTTAGGAAGTTTGATATGATTTCTGCGATGTCGGTACTGCTGCTGAAGCTCCTCAGAAATGTAATTAGCACGCAGAGCTGTAGTAAGTAGTTCGGCATCCATTCTTTGCCAGCTTTGTGAGTCAACTGTCATGGTTGCTAGGCGACAATGTTTGCCGGGTGTGTCAGAGAAGCGTCAACCTGTTTAAATCTATAGCTGAACTCTTCCGGCCTCCTTATTTTCACGGCCTTTGAAGGACCCGGTCTACCTGGACTGGGTCCTTCGGAGGACGCAGACGGCGAAATTGAACACAGCCTGTTTAACTCCAGTCACACCAGGTGAAAGCTAAAGAGATGATTCACTATCAGGAATAAGGTCTGAATGCAGATTAGTGGCAAATGAAAGTAGGTGTACTATGTGTTTATGCATTTTAAAACCCAGTTGGACTGTTTTAATTAACCTTTGTGCCCAGCTGCTTTTAACCAGTTTGAGTTGGTGACTTTCAGTTTTAACGATATCCCTATCTTTAGATAGAGTTCCTTCTTGTTTACTTATGACCCTTTTAAAACTGTTGAGTCATATAATCTGTTATCGACTGAGCTGTCTGCCAGCTGCCTTTAGGTTTGTTGTGGTGCAGCCGTTCTGCAAGAACAAACATTTAGACCCTTCAATCCCGTCTCTGACTTTAAGTTTGTCACAAAGCCGCCAGTTTTTAACCAATTAAAAAGGTTAAAAAGGGAACTAGATTTCTGAAAAGTTTAAATCTAGCGTTTACAAGTACCGCATCATTGAAACAAAAGCTATAAGGGTTTTTAATCAGGTAATTTTAACTGTTTGTTGTTGGACCCTTGTTATTTTGGTCAATAAAAATGTGAAATTCTTCAAAGCCAGCATTCGACCCTCTTAGCAATATTAAGACTTGGATGAATGCAAGTCACCTCCATTTGTACAACAGTGAAACTGAAGTCATGTTATATGGATTTACAGACCTTTTCTCCACCATCTTGAGCCTTTCTTGTTGTACAGTTGTTCTTTATTTAGGAATCCTACCTGAGAGTTGATTCCACTTCAACACCACACATCAAACCAAAGACACTTCATGGATTCCTGCTCTATTAGTTGCAACACTCTTCACCAAAGTCACAGGAAGATCGAAGCAAGAGCATCCCAAGAACAGATAACAGTTATAACAGTTTTCATAAAAGGAGGTTTTTGCTAGTAAACAGTTGGGGTGTAAATCACATCCATCATGGCGATTCGATTCAGTATCGATATCCTGGCCCAACGATTCGATTATTTTCAATACTCAAGAATACACCATGATACGATTCAATTAATCGGTTAATTTATTTTCTTTTTTTTACACCTTACAGGC